CACACACACACACACACAATCTTTTAAAAGAAGCAGCATTATCAGGCCACAGAAGAAGACAACGCGGCCACTCCTGATGAGACCTAATTGATAGGATCAGAAGTAAGGAAAAGAAGTCCTCCCCTATCAGCGGACTTGGGGAGGGGCATTCATGCAGAGGGTTGAGGAAGGGAGGGATTGGGGCGGGAAGAGGGAGAGAACCACAGGGAGGATACAAAGTGAATAAAGTGTAATTAATAAAAAAAAATAAAATTGGAAAAAAAAGAAACACTTTATATTATATTTCAAATAATTTTCGTCTACTTTTTGAATAACATTCATTTCAATAAGGATTATGAATTCATCTTCTTTGTTAAAAAATAATGAACCATTACTATTCTACACTACCTCTATGAAATATTTAGTGTATAATTGTGTCAAGGGAGTTAGCTTCAATACGTAATTTTGGTATCTGAAATTGCTTCGAGAAAGACCTTTTAATGCCATCAGATAACTCCTTCTAATAAATGTTGTAACCTTTATCAAAATAAAACTCTTTTCCATTGCCAACATGACAAAAACAAGACAAATTACATTCTTTTGAAAAAATACTGCATGTGTTGTTTTAATGCAGCCGCTCTAAATCTATTAGCTATTAGACAGTGATGAATTAGGGTTACTCATAAGAACACTTAAGCAGACACTGTTATCTACATTTCTCATCTGTCTTAGACTTGCCATAGTCAAACAGTTCTAGGAAAGGAAATGTGGTGTAAAACTGATCCCAACATCTTTCAAACCCTCTCTTCTTCTCTCTTTTGCTTTGAAATGAAAACAATATTTTCTCTTCGGTGATGATAGTTTTTTTAGGGCTGGTTAGTTGTGTATTTTAAAAATATGTTCCTGCTTTTGTAATATTGTATTGCAGTATATAGTTCTGATTACTCTTTTTATTGTAATATAGTGAAAACAAGTAAATATTTACTAACTCATAAAATAAGAATACTGCTGTAGATTGCTAGATTTACTTTTACTAATTTTATGAAAAGTTATTTTGTTGTTACAAATTTAACGTGTATCAAGAATATGTTTTCATCTTTGACTGAACAAAGTAAAAGGGTCAATTATTCTCCCATCAAAAAGAAGAAGGTCCCCCACCAGAGTTTTATCCACTCTTATCCCCACCTGAACCTCGCTCCTACATCTTTTATTGAAAACTGTATTACTTTGAAGTTGAAGGTTGTATTCAGGCAGGCAGACAGCTTTACTCCCACCTTGAGTTGGAGCAAATAATGGATTCTACAAAGCAGGTGTCCAACTGGCCAAGGTCATCACACAATGAGTCAGTGTTAATATCTGAATTGCAGTTAGAGACAGACTCAGCACATGACAGGTTAATTTGATAAGTGTCCTTTGGTCTTACTATCATAGTGGTCTGAAACTGTGGAGCAAATTGAATAAGTAACTCTGTGAGTGCCTTAGAATGTTATGCCTTTGCTAATCCTGTAGTGCCCATCAGGCCAGCAAAACACATGGATGACAATTTTGCTTCACAGGGGCCATTTGTTCAGGGAAAAAAATGAAAAGTGGAAATATGAAGTCAGTTTTCTCCTGACATTTCCAAGAATGATTACTTCTGAAGGACAAACAGGCAATCTCTCTTTAGAAACAGTCAATCCAAAGAGCTCAGAAAGTCCTTCAGAGTTGCAAATAGAAGATCAGATCACAACTTCAAGGGAAAGCACACACAAAAATTAGAAGACATAACCACTGGGAAAGAACAGGAACAACAACAAGCACATTATAAATTTACATTTCTCTCTGCACTGCCCTCAAGTTTCAACTGTAGACACTACCCTAAAATGAAAGCCAAAGGCACCAAGGACATAAAGGTTATGAATGATTAAAGTAAAGTAAAGTACAGTAAAGTAAAGCAAAATGGTTTTAAGTTTCTAGGCTATATAAAATCATAGTAGATGAGATAAAGAATTTTATGGAAATCCTTGAAAGGCAGTTAAGGTGCACATATTAAAATTAGTTCACAGCTGGGGTTGTAACAATTGTTTGAGAGCATTTTGATCATTCCAGAGGCCCCAGGGATACATAGGTCCCGGTTTAAACCTATTGCATATAAATATATGTATTACATGCATTCCTGTAATGAAACTATTCTAAAGGTAGAGACAGGAGGTTCAGACATTCAAGGTCATCCTTGACTACACAGCCATCTGAGGTCAGCCTGAAATACATCAGGCCCTATGTCAGAACAATGAGGCAATAATTTTCAAAAATGTGAATTAGTCAAGTTTATCAAGTAGATACTTTACCAACATCTATTATGAGTATTTATGGAGGAAAAGAGGTTTTGTAGATTGGATTAGGTTTGGGATTTTGAGCTGACAATATCATTCTGGACTATCTAGATGAATCCAATATGTTCACAAACTGGTATAAGAAATTCAGAGGACTCCATAAATCAGAAACAGAAGTTGAACTGGTTTTTCCAAGAGCCAAGGAATGCAGGTAGTTTCTAAAAGCTAGAAGAAACAAGGAAATAGATTCTTCCTTAGAAAATACCTGACACTCTATGACATGAACTCAATGGCTGGCTCTTGGACCTTCCCCTCCCCCAAGGGAGGAGCAGCCTAGCTAGGCCACAGAGGAGGACATTATACCCAGTCCTGAAGACACCTGATAAGCTAGGACCAGATGGAAGGGAAGGAGGACTTGCCCTATCAGTGTACTTAGAAAGGGGCAGGGAGGAGATGAGGGAGGGAGGGAGGGTGGGATTGGGAGGGAATGAGAGAGGGGGCTACATCTGGGATAAGAAGTTAATAAACCATAACTAATATAAAAAATAAAAAAATGTTAAAATAAAAAAAGAAAAGAAAGAAAGAGAGAAAAGAAATGCCTGACATGAATGGTGACTTCAGATTTCTGGCTTCTCAAACCACCATCTAATATATTTGTTATTTGTGTTTCCCATAAATCACTACATTTGTAATTTTTATAGCATCAGTAAGAAATATGTTTCCCCATGGCACCATTAAAAAACAGAATCAGGATTTAAATGGAATTCATCTGGTACCAGAACAAGGAATTAAATCTCTGTGCCATAGGGACCATCATAAGCAGAATAAATATTAACTGCTGGGTACTCTGCCTTACATGAGACATCTATATCATCCCCTCAAGATCTAGGGTACATTATATAAGAGATGGCAAAAAGATTGTGGGAGAAGAATGTTATGAAATTTTGTCTTCTGGAAATGACACAATCTTTGCAATCTTAAACACATAACAGCTATGGCTACCCCCCCAAAAAAACCTGCATTAAACAAAATAAAAATAAATAAATAATAAAAACATTGAGGTAGGAGGGACACTAATGGGGACTAAGAATGGAAAAATGAAATCAAAAGAAGATGACTTAGCGATGGTAATAGAAAGCAAATATGATCACAGTAAATTCTGTACACATATGAGATTGTTTAAAAAGAAGAAAAATTGAGGGGAGACTTGAAAGAGGGACAGAAGAAAGAGGAGGAAGAAGATGAAGATGGGATAGAGAGAGAGAGTACATATGGATCATCTTCCTTGTTCTTTAAGACCAAAGGTTTGCACTCTTAAAGTTAGGGGGATAGTGGTTGTAAGAATTGGCTAGTTACAGGAAAGTCACATGGTTGAATACAATTAGGCCCCTGATTTCATGTCTGTGTGAGACTAAAGGAGGGAAGTTCTGTAACAAACGCCAGCATTCTGGTTTTCTGATTCTTGTATTTGTCATTAGTATCTTAGGATACTAATGACAATTAGTATAGCATCCTGCTTCTACAAAAGTATGAGAACTCTCAAAATCTTGTAATTATTCTGTTCCCCAAATTCAGTTACAAGTACATACGGTTTGCAGCCCCCACATCCTTGATCCAGCATCTAGGACAGAATGGGTGACTGATTGAGTCAAACTACAGATTTATTTGTTTGTTTTTCAAGACAGGATTTTTCTGTGTAGCCTTGGTTGTCCTGGACTCACTTTCAGCCTCTAACTCAATTTCAGTTTTGAACTCACAGTGATCCCCCTGCCTCAACCTCTCTGAGTGCTAGGATTAAAGGCATGCACCCAGTCCTGAAAATACCTGACAAAACGGAGTCATATGAAAAGGGAGGAGGTTCTCCCTTATCAGTGGACTTGGAAAGGGGCAGGGAGGAGATGAGGGAGGGAGGGAGGGAGGGATTGGGGAGGAAATGAGGAAGCGGGATACAGCTGCGATACAGAATTAACAAAATGTAACTAATAAGAAAAATAAAATAAATAAAAAAGATTTTAAAAAAAGGCATGCACTACCATGCCCGGCTTTGAAGATTTATTATTGTCTGCTTCCACCAATAATTTTCACGTGTAATGTGCATGTGTGTAGCCTGAGGACAGATAATGTCAAAACTCACACTCAAGTAGTTTGTCTGGGGCTTGAGAAAAGGCATTTCAGCCCCCAAGTGTAATTCTGACACTACTGGTCTGGAGTCTACATTTATTAACGTCTTAGAAAATGAGAGCTCACTCTCCAAAATGCAAGTTATACAAATTGTGATCATTCCATAAAAGTTTATGAAGATGCCATAGAAACAGACTATTTTCCCATTTGAGCACGTCTTCTTTAAATAAAGGGAATAAATTAGACGTCAGAATCCAATGGCAAGTGTCCGGACAGAGCCCTAACTCGCTTTCCCAGGTTCACTGCTCTCTTCTTATCCAGGCAGGCGAACGAGGAGTATAGTAAAAAAAAAAAGGAAGGGAGGGTCCCCGAGTTCCAGCCTTGAGACGTTCCCTTTGGATTTCCAGCTTCTAAGGAGTGTTTGCCCCTTTGAACTTCCAAGGTCATGGACGCACACATTCCAGCGGAACAGCGCATCCCCCTCTGCTCCCTTGTCCAGGCTGAGGAGGCGGACGCGCTTGCGTGCGAGCTCAATATAAATAAGTCTCAGGCGGCGGCCACTGGGCAGAACCGGCTGCAGGAGCCTCGGGCCATGGCAGGTGAGGACCAACCGTGGCAGGGCAGCATCCTCTACAATCTACTGATGAGCGCCAAACAGCAGCACGAGGCTCCGAAAGAGCCCAATGCGTGCTTGGGGGCTCAGTGCTGGGGTTGCCCCTGCGGCTCTCAGCCCGGCAGGCAAGCCATGGCCCTCCTGTACCGCTGCTGCTTTTGCGGGAAGAACCACCCTCACAAGGGCAGCATCCTCTACTCTATGCTCACCAGCGGCAAGCAGCCAAGCGCGGTGACAGAGGCTCCCAGGGCTCAGTGCTGGGGCTGCGCCTGTGGCAGCGCTGAGCCCCTAGTGGCCAGAGAGGGGCCGCCGGCTGGCCCGGCCCCCTCGCTCCTGTACCTGTGCTGCTTCTGCGGAGAAGAACACCCAAGGCAGGGCAGCATCTTGTACAGCTTGCTCACTAGCGCCAAGCAGACGCACGTGTCTCCGGAAGCACCAGAGGCAGGTCGCAGAGGAGAGTGGTGGCAGCTGTCCTACTGTACGCAGAGTGTGAGTGGCCCAGAGGGGCTGCAGCGCTCACAAGCCATGGCGTTCCTGTACCGCAGCTATGTGTGCGCTGAAGAGCAGCCCCAGCAGAGCAGCATTGCCTCTGGCACGACCGCGAGGGCGGAGCAAACATCCTCGACTTCGCAAGAGCAGCCTAGGGCCCTTTGGTGGGACGCCTCATCTGGCATGCAGCTTCCGATGGCACTCAAGGATCCACAGGTGGTGTATGAGGCAGCATCAGCTGGCCTGTTGAAGACGCTGCGCTTCGTCAAATATTTGCCCTGCTTCCAGATCCTACCTCTGGATCAGCAGCTGGTACTGGTGCGGAGCTGTTGGGCGCCCCTACTCATGCTTGAGTTGGCCCAAGATCACCTGCACTTCGAGATGTTGGAGATCTCTGAGCCCAGTGTGATGCAGGAAATGCTCACCACCAGGCGGCAGGAGACTGGGAGCCCGGAGCCCTCAGATCTCCCGAGCACAGAGCAGCCACAGATGGTGTCCTCAGAGGCTGGGTACTTGCCCTTGGCCGCTGCTGTCCAGGCCATAAAGAGCTTCTTTATCAAGTGCTGGAGTCTCAACATTGACACCAAGGAGTACGCCTATCTGAAGGGGACCGTGCTCTTTAACCCAGGTAAGCATGATAACTTTGCACTGTCCCTTCAGGTCACAAAAACACCACCTCTACATGCATGTACTTTGAGTTTTGAGTGACTGTTGGAGCCAAAATGAAGACATGTGACTGACTATGCAAAGCTGGTGAGCTTCTGCCAGAAACTAGGCGTTAGATGGGGGTGGGTGACAAGCAAGCTTTTTACTTGGCTCTCTACTTTTATTAACTGCTGCTACAGAAGTTTCTGCCTTCGTGGGACATGCTTCTTTCTTCCTTCGTCAAGCTATCTTTAAGTACAGTGGCATAACTTAAAAAAAAGTTTTTGCTCATTTCACATACGCTTTTCTTACATTCCTGCTTTCCAAATTTGCCTGTAAGAAGAGCTTGTGTTAGGCGCTGGGGTGTTAAGTCTTCTCAAGCTCCTCCCCTCAAGTGTCAGTAGTTCAGCCCAACCCAGATTCTGTAAGTCTGCATACACAAGTGTCTCAGGTAATTTTTTTAAACTTTTTTTCTTAATATAATTTTAATTATATGTTTATTTATTACATTCTTTTTCACTTTGCATCCCCGTTGTAGCGACCTCCCTCATCTCCTCCCAGTCCCACCCACCCTCACTCTTCTCCCCCTATGCCCTTTTCCTTAGTCCCCTGATACAAAAGGACATCCTCCCTATTCTATCTGACCCTAGCTTATCAGTTCTCATCAAGGCTGGCTGCATCATCTTCCTCTGTGGCCTGGCAAGGCTGCACTCCCCCAGTGGAGGTGATCAAAGCGCTGGACACTGAGTTCATGTCAGAGACAGCCCCTGTACTCCTTACTAGGGAACTTGGAAACTGAGCAGCCTATGGGCTTCTTCTGAACAGGGAATCTGGGTCCTCTCCTTGCATAGTCCTTAGCTGGAGTTATGCATCCTTGCAGGACTCTCTGGGCCAAGGTATTTTGGCTCTGTTGTTTTCCTTGTAGAGCTCCTGTCCCTTCCAGATCTTTCTATCTCCCTCTTCTTCCATAAGGATTCTGGCACTCTGCCCAAAGTTTGACTATGAGTCTCAGCATCTCCTTTGATACCCTGGTGGGTAGAGTTTTTCAGAGGTCTTCTGTGGAAGGCTTCTATCTTCTTCCTTGTCTTCTCCTACTTCTAATATCTATCTTGTTTGGCTCAGGTGATTTTTGAGGTCATCTGAGAAACAGTTCTCTCACTCTTTCAGCCAATGTTATTAATCCTGCTCTATTAAGATTCAAAGTCAAGACCAAGGTCTCAGCTTTCAGAAGTCTGTATTTCCAGTACTTTCCCACTTTCCTTGACCCTGTTTCACATCCTTTGCCACCCTCAACACTCTTTCTTCCTCTTCCTCTCTCCCCCTCCTTCTCTTATTCTTTCTCTATTTTTTCTGAGTTCTCTCTCAATAGGAGTTTTTCCTGTCAAAGCGTGTGCTTTAAATGACAATGCATCCACATTTGTGCAAATGTAAGGTCTGTAAAACATGTGGCCTCCTTTTTCTGATAACCATTTTGCATCCCCTTGTGTATGTTTAAACACATACACATGTTTTATATGATGAAGGTTCACAAAGTTTTAAATTATATGTAAACATATAAATTGGTTTTAATATAAGGAAACGACAAAAGGTAAGGAGATGTGTAAAGGGTGGAATCCTATTTTTTTTTCTGCCTTTACATTGAAGGGACTTTTTGCATGGGTGGAAAGGTACAAGTAAGGGGGGCAAGGAGATGTGAAGAGGAATACAAAATGAGGACCAACCTGAACAATATAAATTAGAATGCCATGAGGAAACCTTAGTTTGTGTTCTAAAAAGAATTTTTAATGCAAGGAATAAAATTAGTTACTTTAAGGAGAGGGCTAGAGGCTGTTGTGTGAAAGTAATGGGTGCCTCACAATATACAGCTTTCACAAACCACAGTTTCTGTGTAGACCTGGAGACACTTATCAACAGGATATACACACAATTAAATAGAGATTCAAGGTTGAGTATTGGGATATAAATAGAGTGGAGGATGTTAATGCTTGAACTATAATCAGAATTAAAATCTAGATAAGAAGCATTGCTATATTTTGTTGTTTTTTTTTATAAACTGATATTTGCCTATAATAGGAATGCTTCTTTTATTATTCTTTTTTATTTTAATTTTTATTCTTTTTTCATTATTATTATTTTTAAAGCATGATGCTTTTAAAATAATCTTCTGTTGAATTTTGTAGAAGGCAAATTATACCATCATTTAAAACAAATCTGTTTCAAAATTGCTTTTGAGTCATGTTTCATTCTGTGATGTTTTATGTTTATCTTTTAACATTTTAATGTCAATATTTTTCTCCAAAGGAAACCACTGGAATATTCATTAGAACTGTAATTTTTAAAACTTTCTACAATCTGGAATTTATGTTATAGTGACCTAAATAGTAACTGCTAGCATCTAATTCATTATGAACTTCTAAGGTCCTATCGGCCTGGAGTCCAATAATTCAAAACACGTGAATTACAGTTTATAGCTGTGAAGTTTACAATATAATGACTGAACAGTTGGTATAATTGTGGAAAAGAACAGCAAAATAATTGTAATCTGGCAAAACTTCTCATCATTATAAAATGGTATATTTCTCATAGGTACATTTCTCTTGAAATAACATCAATTTCTTTATATTTTCACAGAAAAAGAACTGGAGCATCAATTATAATCTATCAACACTAAATTCAGTGTGCCATTGTTTCCTAATTGTGTGCACACACCTACTGAATGTTCAATAGAAATCAGTGGATGTTCTTTCATTCTTAGAAATGTTGCTTCTGAAAACTTAGAACTTTTTTTTTTTTTTTAGCATGTTATTCTTGTCCCCAAAAAGCTCTTTTAACCAAGAAGGTTGAGTACCTTTTTAATTGGGAAGGGACAAAAAATCAAAACCAAATATGGTTTAAAAACATAAAGATCTCTGTGGTAAGCTGTTTAAAATAAAGCGATTTTTTTTTCTACTTTCAGACCTGCCTGGGCTGCAGTGCGTGAAATACATCCAGGGCCTTCAGTGGAGAACTCAGCAGATCCTCACTGAGCACATCAGAATGATGCAGAGAGAGTACCAGCTCAGATCCACTGAGCTGAATAGTGCTCTTTTCCTGCTGAGATACATCAATACTGAAGTCATCACTGAACTCTTTTTCCGGCCCATCATTGGTGCAGTCAGCATGGATGATATGATGCTGGAGATGCTCTGTGCAAAGTTATGAAGGGCATGTGGCCAACTCAAGTGCATTTTACCATAGAAGAAGGAGAAAATGTTAGCTGTAGGCAGAAGAGCGCTAAATATTGTGAAAGCAAACTTTCTTGTATTTTTACATGCATAGTATATTTGTATTCAATTGAAGAAATACTTTAGTTACAGAAAATGTAAAGACCCCTCTGATCCATACTGGTTTCTTGTAAAGGAACACATTTGCTAACGAATAACATATCTCCATGCATCGTTAATAACGTGGTACTATGCTAACAAACTAATTTCACAAATATAACTTCTTTTACCACTGACCCTGCCAAATAAAATTTATAATAATGTTTTAATAAAATTTAAGGTATTAACTATAAAATTGACTGAAGAGAAATTTCTTGGGGTTTAAATCTTCATATTTTTCCCTTTGGTATTTCAAGGCAGGGTATCTCTGTGTAGCCTTGGCTTTCCTGGACTCTCTTTGTAGACCAGGCTGGCCTCGAAATCATGAAAATCAGCCTGTCTCTGCCTCCTTAAGACCTGGGATTACAGGCGTGTGCCACTGCACATGGCTTTTCTAAATTTTTTAAAGTCTAGCTAACATAACTAGAGGTATGTTCATGAGTAACTTCATGAGATTTAATATTACAGTATGTCAGTGCCAATGAAAAGTTATTTTGCCTCATTTTATTTCTGCCTCCATTAACTATATAAAAAGATTGTCTTTGCTCCTGCCTGGAACTCAAAAGACAGTCCATATTCTGAAAGTGAAAAAACTACTTCCAGAATTTGAGTTTCAAATTTTCCTGCTTACAGTTATGGATTTGAACTAAAGTTCCATACTAAATCCACATTCTGTCAAGGGGGCATCACCATTTCAGAAAGTTCAACATGACCATAAAATCCTAATTATATCTCAACTTTTAGGTACATTGTATAGGTAACTGTCAAATTAAACAATTCTTACAAGCAATTATAAGTTGCCCCCTGCAACCCCTTTATTTTTTTAGTATATTAAAAACAATTTGTATAGGTATAATTTGTATCCATATAATTATCATTCCATTAGTGTATGTAGTTCAGTAAGTTTTAACGTGTTCACTGAGTTGTAGAATAATCACCAACATTTTACAGTATTTTCCTTATCTAGTCAAACTCACTTTCCACTTCTCCTAACATCCCTAGCACTAAAGGAATCATAAGAATACTCTAACACTATAGATAGGGGACGGTTTTTGATGTTATCATATAAAGTTCATGTGAATAATATAAATTACAAATATGACACATTTCTAATATTTTCTTGACTTATTACTTACAAAATATATTTTCCTGTTTGATCCATGCTGATTAACTTTAGACATTTGTGGAGGAAATGTGACATTTCAATGCAAATATGCAAAACAGATCAGGAAAGTTCATATATCTGTTGCTCTGATACACATAATATCTTGCATTGAAAATTTCAAAAATCTCTGCAAGATATCTCAGGATATTACAGATAATTACATAAATTTTAATCAAACATACTTATCTTTCTGTGCTGTATAATATTGGACATCATTGTCCATATTCAGCCTCAAAAACTGATAATGATCTGTGAAGCTCCCTTGAACAATTCTCATTCTAGTAATCTCTATTTTATTGTATAGTTCTTTTTTTACATTTCTTATTTATTATTATTATTTATTACAATTTATTCACTTTGTATCCTGGCTGTGGTCCCCTCTCTCCTCTCCTCCCTATCGCACCCTCCCACCCTCTTCTCCCCTTATGTCCCTCCCCTAGTCCACTAATATGGAAGGACCTCCTCCCCTTCTATTTGACCCTAGCCTATCAGGTCTCATCAAGATTGGATTCATTGTCTTCCTCTGTGGCCTGGCAAGGCTGCACACCCCAGGGGGAGGTGATCAGAGAGCTTGCCACTGAGTTCATGCCAGAGACAACCGCTGCTCTTCTTACTAGGGAATCTACATGGAGAAAGAGTGTATGGACTACATCTCAGCAGGAGTTTTAGGTCTTCTCTATGCATGGTCCTTGGTTGGGGTGTCAGTCTCTGCAGGGCCCCCAAGGTGCAGTTTGTTTGTTTGTTTGGCTCTGTTGATATCGTTTTAGAGCTCCTGTCCCCTCCAAGTCTTTCTATCTCTCCCTTTTATAATATTCCATACCCTCTGCCAAAAGTTTGGCTGTGAGTCTCAGCTTTTGCTTTGATACCACAATCAATGGAGTTTTTCAGAGGCCCTCTGTGGTAGGCTCCTGTCCTGTTCCCTGTCTTCTCCTGCTTCCAATGTCTATCCTGTTTGCACTTCTGAAAGTGGATTGAGCATCTTCCCTAGGGTGTTCCCTGTTTAGCTTCTTTAGGACTATAGATTTTAGTATGTTTCTATTATATTATATGTCTAATAACCACTTTGAGTGTGTATATACCATGTCTCTCTCTCTCTCTGCTTCTGGAATTCCTCACTCAAGATGATCTTTCTTAGTTCCCACCATTTGCCTGAAAAAATTCATGATTTTCCTGTTTTTAAAAGCTGAGTAGTATTCCATTGTGTTAACCTACCACAATTTCTGTAACCATTCCTGGGTTGAAGGAAACCTAGGTTGTTTCCAGGTTCTAGCTATTATGAATAAAGCTGCTACAAACATAGTTGAAAGAATGTCCTTGTCGTATAGTTGAACATACTTTGGGGATATATGCCTAGGAGTGGTATAGCTGGATCTTGAGGTAGCACTATTTCTAATTGTCTGAGAAAGATCCTGATTGATTTAAAAAGTGGTTGTACAAGTTTACATTCCCAGCAGCAATGGAGGAAAGTTCCCCTTTCTCCAGTTCTCTCCAGCATGTGTTGTCACTTGAGTTTTTGATCTTAGCAATTCTGATGGGTGTAAGGTGAAATCTCAGGATTGTTTTGATTTGCATCTCCCTGATGATTAAGTGTTTCTCTGCCATTAGATATTCCTTTATTGAGAATTCTCTATTTATCTCTGTACCCCATTTTTTAATGGGATTCCTTAGTTTGTTGGTGTTTAACTTTTTAAGTTCTTTATATATTCTGGATATTATTCCTTTGTCAGATATAGTGTGATGAAGATCCTTTCCCAGTCTGTAAGCTGCCATTTTGTTCTGAGCAGAGTGTGCTTTGCTTTACAGAAGCTTTTCAGTTTCATGAGGTCTTATTCATTGATTGTTAATCTTAGAGCCTTTGCTATTGCTGTTCTGTTCAGGAAGCTGTCTCCCGTGCCAAAGAGGTCCAGGCTCTTCCCCACTTTTTCCTCTTTTTATTTATTTATTTTTTATTAGTTCCATTTATTAACTCTGTATCCCAGCTTTATCCCGCTCCCTCAATCCCCTGCAAACCCTCCCTCCCTCCCTCATCTCCTCCCTGCCCCTTTCCAAGTCTAGTGATTGGGGAGGACCTCCTCCTCTTTCATCTGACCCCGTTTTATCAGGTATCTTTAGGACTGGCTGCAAAGTCCTCCTCTGTGGCCTAGCAGGACTGCTCCTCCTTTGGGGGTGGGGAGGGCAAAGAGCCTGCCATTGAGTGCCTGTCAGAAATAGTCCCTGTTCCCCTTACTATGGGAAAACAATTGGTTAATGAGCTACCACGTGCTTCATCCCAGCAGAAGTTCTAGGTTATATCCATACATGGTCCTTGATAGAGTATCAGTCTCAGAAAAGACAACTGTTCCCAGATATATTTGGTCTTTGTGGAGCTCCTATTCTTTCCATGTCATACAAACTCCCCCTTCTTTCATATGGTTCCCTGCACTCTGCCAAAGGTTTGGTTATGAGTCTTATTATCTGCTTTGATACACAGCTAGGTAAAGTCTTTCAGAGGCCATCTGCGGTAGGTTCCTGCCCTGTTACTTGTTATCTCCAATGTCAAATGCAACTCCCATTTGTCTTTCTAAGTGAGGATTGATTGTCTTACCCTGGGTCCTTTTTCTTGTTTATCTTCTTTAGGTGTATAGATTTCATTATGTTTATCATAGCTTGTAGGACTATATGAGTGAGTATATACCATGTGTGTCTTTCTCCTTCTGTGATACCTCACTCAGAATGATCGTTTCTAGATCCCATTTGCTTGCAAATTTCATGATTTCCTTGTTTTTGATTGCTGAGTAGTATTCCATTGTGTAAAAATACCACAATTTCTGTATCCATTCCTCCATTGAGGGACATATGGGTTGTTTCCAGGTTCTAGCTATTACAAATAAAGGTGCTACAAACATGGTTGAGCAAATGTCCTTGTTGTGTACTTGATCAAATTTTGGGTGTATGCCTAGGAGTGGTATAGTTGAATCTTGAGGAAGCACTATTCCTAATTGTCTGAAAAAGAACCATATTGACTTCCGAAGTGGTTGTACCAGTTTACATTCCCACCAGCAATGGAAGAGGGTTTCCATTTCTTCACAACCTCTCCAGCATGTGTTGTCACTTGAGGTATTCATTTTAGCCATTCTGATGGGTGTAAGGTGAAACATCAGGTTTGTTTTGATTTGCATCTCCCTGATGGCTAAGGATATTGTGCATCTCTTTAAATGTTTGTCTGCCATTCTATATTCCTCTACAGAGAATTTTCTGTTCAGCTCCATACCCTATTTTTTAATTGGATTACTTCATTTATTGCTTTTTAACTTCTTTATTTCTTTATATCTGCTGGATATAAGCCCTCTGTCAGATATAGGGTTGGTGAAGATCCTTTCCCAATCTGTAGGCTGTCATTTTGTTCTGATGACAGTGTCTTTTGCTTTACAGAACCTTTTCAGTTTCATGAGGTCCCATTTACTCTTAGAGCCTGTGCTGTTGGTGTTCTGGTCAAGAATTTGTCTCCTGTGCCAATGAGTTCTAAGATGTTCCTCACTTTTTCTTCTAACCAATTTAGAGAATCTGGTTTTATGGGGAGGTCTCTGATCCACTTGGACTTTAGTTTTGTGCACGGTGATGAATATGGGTCTATTTTCATTTTTCTGCATGTAGACATCCAGTTGGACCAGCACCATTTGTTGAAGATGCTATCTTTTTTCCATTTACTCCTTTGGCTTCTCTGTAAAAAATCAAGTATTCATAGGTGTGTGAGTTTATTTCTGGGTCTCTATTCAGTTTCATTGATCCACCATTCTGTTTCTATGCCAATACCATGCAATTTTTATTACTGTTGCTTTGTAGTACAGCTTGAGATCGGGGATGGAGATACCTCCAGATGATCTCTTGTTGTACAGGATCATTTTGGAGATTCTGGGTTTTTTGTTTCTCCATATGTAGCTGAGAATCATTCTTTCAAGGTCTGTATTGGTATTTTGATGGGAATAGCTTTGAATCT